AGTCTTCATGTATTTTTCTGCCCAATGTAGCCATTTCTGCTTGTGAGCATTGGTTAGTGGTGCAAGACTCTGGAGGACTCTACACCTTGATGTCCCTGGGACTCCAGAGGCACCAGCAGCTTCAAATATGTTTGCTGCTATGTAATGGTATTTTAGCAGCTGCTCTCTTGATCCGATGCATGGATCTATTAGAAATCTTCCTTAATGTGCCTTTATCTGCACAAACCTGTCTATGCTCTGAATCAGCCACAAATCTCTTAATAGTGCGATGATCACACTTAAGTTTTCGTGAAATATCTAATGTTTTCATTCCTCGTCCAAAGCATTGAACTATTTCACTCTTTTCGGCAGCAGAGAGATCCTTTTTCTTCCCCATATTGCATGAAAATGGTGCTCTGCTTAATAATGTGGAACACCCTCCTTTAGTAATTTTTCCTTAAATTGGACTCACCTGGATATCTAATTATCACAGGTGTCCGAGATTGTTTTCAGTGATCAAAAGAGCCCTGAGACACAATGCCATCCATGAGTTAAAGTGAAAAACAAAATATTTACTCTGTGACACTTAAATAAAATTTGCATAATAATTTGAAACAGGGTGTATACTTCAGATCAGTGGCGTACACACAACCCATGGGGTCCCGGTGCGAAAACTTAATCTGCGCGGGCTGGGCTGCAACACCTGGCAGCGGGCACCTGGTCGCAGGGCTGCGACCCCTGCGACCGCAGTATGTACGCCAGTGCATGCAGATACAAATACACTTAAAGGACCACTACAGACACCCAGATCACATCAGCTCAATGAAGTAGTCTGAGTGCCAGGTCCCTCTAGTTTAAACCCTGCAGCTGAAAACATAGCAGTTTAAAGGAAACTGCTATGTTTCACTGAGGGTTAATCCAGCGTCTAGTGGCTGTCTCATTGACAGCCGCTAGAGGAGCTTCCGCGTTTCTCACTGTAAAAATCACAGTGAGAAGACGCTGAACGTCCATAGGAAAGCATTGAGTAGTGCTTTCCTATGGGCGGTTTGAATGCGCGTGCGGCTCTTGCCGCGCACGCGCATTTGGAGCTGAGAGGCGGATCGGGCGGAGGGATCCCCAGCGCCAAGGGAGTCCGGCACTGGACAAAGGTAAGTGCTGACGAACACACACACTCTCACGAACAAACGCATACACACTAGCTAACAGACACACACATTTACTGACAGACACACACAGTGACAGACATACACACTCACTTACAAAACACACACTCACTAAAAGACACCAAACAGATGCACACAAACTAACACACTCAGTAACACACACACACACTAACACTAACACACACTTTTTTTTTTAAATGTAATCCCCCAGCTTCCCTACCTTTGGGAGTGCTGAGGGGATTCCCTGGGGTCCAGTGGTGTCACCAGGCGGGCGCGCGAAGGAGTTCACAGAGCTCTCACTTCCCACCAGTCAGTCATTCTTTGTAGAGTGACTTTGTAGACCGCAATAATATGATATTCTTCTTTCTCTACCCGATCTGACAGGGAGCTGCTTTCTGTTACTGGAAGGGGCAGAGAACCAGCAGTGAGCAGCTTCATCATAGCCCTCAGCATACCCTCACTTTATCATAGCATCCTTTACATCATCGCTTCCTGCTACAAACTAAAGGGTGCTGACCGTGTGCTCTCTCCCAGTATGAATTCTCCCATGTTGCTTAACTGTCCTCTATTAAAACAAATATGAATGGCTGTCCTGGTTTGCCTTCTTTTCCTCCCCCAGGGGTTATCTGGGTTCAATGGATAGATTGGAACCCATGACTTTACAGCTCTGCTCTGAAAAAAAAAAAAAAAAAAAAGAGAGAGTGAGCGAGAAACATACTTTGAAACAAGTGACTATGGTTTGTTCACTGAATAGTGGATCACAGTTAATTTATAATTGTATTCTAAAAATACGTGTTTTTCAAAAAAAAGAAAAACAGAAAAAAAAATGCAATCTACTTAAATCAATACAAATATAAAAATATAATATAATATGAAATATAATGTGCAAATTGCAGTATGGGGTTGAGCATAAAATAAGTGAAGCCATCCCTTCCAACATTTCAAACATTTTCCAACATTTCAGATTGACAAAAAATACACTTTAATTTTATATTACTTATGTGATAATAATTTATAGAGATACATTATATTTAATGACTATAATAATGTAAGTCATTTACACAGACTGATTTCTATATATACTTATTATTGTTTAAAGACATATTACTGTGAGTATTCTTGCTGCGGAGTGCTTTATACACACCAACAATATGGAACTTCGAGAAAAGAGGGACAAAGTGATTTGCATCCAATATAGGGACTGTCGTAAGGGTTGTGAAGTATGATCAGGTATATGATAACCACTGAATAGAGACAATACTAGGTTGGAAACAAGTAAAAGTAGATATACTCACACTGTGTG